ATTGAATATGTCAAGTCTTACAGTCGATCTCTGATTTTCAAGGTTTGATAAGAACCTACATCTTTGCAAGGTATCTTTTATGAGCTATCTAATATATGTGTATATATAGGTCCTCAACTTTTTCTTATGCAATCTTCCTTGGGTCACTGGAATGATTGAGAACTTAATCCAAAGAATAGTCAAAAATATTTTCCAGATTGTCCCTGCTTCAAGGGATACTTAAAAGCTTCATGTTGAGAGTATCTAGAACTGAATTACTTTATAATCTTTGCACAGATCCTAGACTGTATTAGCACAACCTGACAGTCGAGTGCTAGGTAAACATTGTGCAACTCTTCAGTTTGGACCTAGTAGAGTTCAGCATGTTTTGACAGTAAGTATACCAAGAAAAAGGACAATTTTGTATAAAGCAAAAACTATGAAGCAATTTACTGCTGTCTTCAGCAACCTTGGCACTCGTTAAGCTTGAGATATACCCAACACATGGAAAATACAAAAAAAATTGATTGGAGAGTGCTGTGTGCATTTACATAAATGTTTATATAAAATTAATATTTTCTGTGTATTGCCCAATGCCTGTCACCACCAAATTAACCAGGACATATCTTTCTCCTTAAAAAATTTCATCACCATATTTGCAAGATAGCTCTATGGGAGTAAACTATAGAAACTGTTCCATCTGGGCTTTTGTTTATATATCACGCATAAAAGTTTAATTGCCTGTATGACATACATTTACAGCAGAGTTCCCACTAAATGATTAATATTTTGTAGGGCTTTTTTGGTTTATGGTTTCTTTTTTAATAGTTCAGAAACAACTGCAGACAAACCTTTCTGCCTGGTAGGGTGACAGCCCAAGTGTGAGCATTCTTCACATTTCTTGAGGCACGTTCTTTTAGGAGGGAGCTGGTTAACCAGTTCAAAAGGTTAACGGGTTCACCGTTTCCAACATATTTTTGTCTGTTTTGTTGTCATGTAATGGAATTGTCTCCCTGGGATTCACAACTCAAGTAATAACAATTACTTGAGTTGTAATTACATTTAACCCCTCTTGCCAATGCTGTTCCTCACTGCTGAACTTCGTTAATTCTGAGTCGATTTTACCCGATTGCTTTTGTCAGTATCAGCACATTAGCATGCACAATTCAGGGACCATTTTTATACCCTGAAACATAAGCCTCAGCACCATCACTAAAAGAGTTTTTACAGTTTGACAAATCCATGCTTGAAAATAACTGGCATGCGAGGCAGCAAATTGACTTCTAGGTGGTGAATACCCACCATTTATAAATTCTTCATGACGAGTTCATGCTTGAAAGCTGTTTGCATTAAATATTTTGGGTTTGCTTTCTCACCAACTGAATAAACATAGGAAGGCTTACTTAAATCCTAGTCCTCGTTCTGCCAGTTCTTGAGGGCTTTTAGTTATCCAATAGGAATATAATTCATTGTTAATTGTATACTATAAAGCTGAATTTGCTGAAAAGCGTGAAAACTCTCATGGTTTGACTAATCCTGCAGTGTTTACTGTAATGCCCTTTTCTTTGCTTGCTTTCTCCATGGTACATGTTATGTAATTAATGACTTGGTAAGTTCTCCTTTTGGATAATGATTCACTTCTGCTCTCATATTACTTGATGATGAGCCTAATTTAATGTGAAAAATAAACCTAAGCATAGCTGATTTGCTCCTTTTTCTTACCTTTTTTTGCTATTCCATTTCTATCACTGTTATATCACATGCTCAGACAATACAATCCCCAAAGCATTTAAATTGTAAAAGTATGAGTGCTGTTGACAGCACACCACAGCAGCATACCAAGGGTGGATTCTGAAGTGGAATAAATCAGCCTTCCAGTGACTGCAACTTATCCCTGACTGGTCACACTTAATCACTAGGTAGGTAATGATTTTTCTAAAAAAGTTTCTTTGGTAGGCATCACGTGTTGCTTTAGGCTTTGATTTTCTCAGTTTATGCTTTGAAGAGAGTACATGTTGTTTATAGGTTGTTTTGGCACTGGCTGCTCAGCGGCTGGGACTTGTCTTAAGTTTAAACCCCAAGGCCTGGTTCTGCTCCGGGTGGCTAATAGAGGAGGGGGTTGATGTTTCCCCATACCAGCTCCCTGGAACATCTGCCCTTGGTCTATTATTGTCATTAAAAGTATGAAAGACATGTGGGAGGGGGAGGTAGGAACTGTGAAGAGCTTCCTTCCTTGACGACTTTCCCTAAGAAATTAGATCTTTAACAAAAAAGGTTTTGTGCAGAAAGATTATTCCATAAAGGGTAATATTGTTGCCAGATGGATGGAGAAGGTGTTCCTGCATGAGATTAAAAGAAGATGAGCAGAGAAAGACCATACGGTTCAGGAAGATCTGAAGTCTGTGGCTGTATCAGTCATGTGGGATCTTATGGATTAAATATACCAGGGGGTTTAAAAGCCTTCATAGCCCTTTATTTTTTAGAGGCAGAAGCCTGAGCTCTCCCACTTGAAAAGAATCTGCTCTTCTTTCCTTGAGCTAGGAAGGGAACCATGCAGTAGTTCAGTGGTTAGCCGACTTTACCAAGATAAGAGAGGCAATTCCTTTCTCTGCAACTTAAGAGAGCGCTCTAAGCAGTAGGGTATAGTTTGTGTAGGATAATTGGCAGCTGTTGTGTTTTGCATAATTACTTTTCTGTTTATGGAAGGGGAAGA